TACTATGTTTATGTTTCGGGTCGCTCGTCTCTCGCGCTCGCTGCTGCGCTCGCCGCCCGCGCCGCGCTCCCCGCCGCGCCTTGGTTTTTTCCCACCATGGTGTATCTCGCGCGTCGCTCCACCTCCCGCTCATCGATCGATTTTTTAAATGCCTTCCGAGTCCGGCCTATCGTCTCCTGCATCCTCATTCGCTCAAACGTGTAAATTTACTACTCAATAACTAATGTTACTTTGTACCGCAGTACATGATATTTCTCCTTAGTTTAACCTAATCTACCACTATTTTCAAAGTTGCTACTTTTGCATCAGACACCCTGTATAACACATTGCTGTGCGCATTTGCATAAATTATATCTCACGTCAAGTCACTCACCACCGAACTAGGGAAAAGTCGATAAAATAATACCGTCTCGAACGGAGGTCTAGAACCACTTATAACATTAACTGCAGTGAGAGGTTTATCATCGGGATACCCTATTGTTACATCCAGAATCCAACTAATTTCTGTATTGGCTGCCGTCATACCTGCAGATAATATCGTATACTACGATAGTTCCAGCAATAATCGTAATAGTATCACTATAAGTAAACTTTGTGTGCACTATATGTATGTACATTTTAATTCCATAAAATTAGTGACAATATTTTATAACACAAAATTTTACTTGGTCGGTTGTTCCGGCGTTGATCTTCTGCGTCCCTGCTTCTTGCTGGCCCGAGGGTTTCCAAAATCGTATGCATGGCTCCTACTTTTGGTAGAGCCACATTTTCCAGAATAGGCAGATTGTTCTTCTTAGCATACTTTTGCGCGCTTTCTTTTCTTTCATGCAAAAATCCACCTTCCGGGAAAAGTACAATCCATTTTCTATCTCGCGGTATATACGAATCTTTTAGATGCTTTCGTAATTGTTTTAAACTTTCTTCCCGTCGTTCACGTCCCTGCAGTTATCTAATATATATTGGCTGAAGGTAACAGATAATCCGCGTTTCGTTACCGTTACGTTTGCATTACAACATGCAAAAGCAGTAAAAATGAATTCCGTACATGTGTGCTTTTACGGGGACACTTGGCACTTACCGATACAATGAAGAAATCTTGATGTAATATAGAAACTATCCCGAAATTAGTAAATTTGATCACTCTATCCATTATCCACATTAAATTAGGTAGAACATTTGGTTTGGCGTTAAATGTTGTGATTAATGTAGGAACATCACCAGTGCTCTGATGATTCGCTATAACTAATGTTTTCTCGCTTATAATCTTCTGTATGTCATCACCTTGCTCTATTACTGTCGAACAAAAGCAAAATTTGTTTCCATCCGAATTCAACGGGGCTTTATTCCTTATCAATTTGCACCGTCATTATTTGTACTTACTGTCGTAGCCTGCAGACCAGGTCCACATCGACGCCATTGCCAGCAACCAGTGGAAAAATAGGCCTTCGATTCGCCAGTACACTTGTGGTTGATATATTTTTACCGGGAACAGTAACATCATCCATACTGCATACGTAGATGTGCAATAGACAATGTTTAATATCACAGATGCCGAACGTGTCACACACTTCAGTAAAGTCACTATGTTCCTGATGATTCTACAAAACGATACATTTCTCAGTCAAAATTGTCTACCTTACAAAAAATATAATTTAAAAATTAATCCTTTTATAAGTGACATATCAAGTATTTATTCATTTATATATATCAACAATACAAAAAGAAATGTGCACAGATTTTTATCAAATTGATACCAAATTGTCGTACATTATGTATTAATTATTATATTATCTTACTATAGTTGAATTTTGCTTTTATTCATTTGTAAATGGGGTAGAAACATATCCTTAAGATAGGACGCTATTAGTGCGAAAAATATTCAAAATAGTATCAAAATGAAAAAATATTTAATTATAATGTAATGCCAAAAAGAGCAATGTTAATATAAAAAAGAAATTTTTAATTTATAATATCCATTTCTAACCTGACGTTAGTTAATATTAAATAAATATAATTTTACATTATACAGGTATCTATAAACTAATCATAAATATTTTAGTAACCGATTTCTTGTTATAATTTAATACCAAAATATCGAGGCTAGAAGAATTTTCAAACAGAAAACAAAGTCGCACATGAGTTTAATATTTGAAGTGCACGAATGATAAGGACGCAATTTTGCTTGCGCTCAGGAAGGGCATAATGATTAGTGATAAACTAAAGTACTTTCACGAACCAAATATATACCAAATACCTTTAATAATTTTGAAATTATTATGCACTCGTGCAACGAGAAGTTCCTTAAGAAGCTATATTTTCGTTAGTGCAATGTGCATGTGTTCTTATTCAATATGCATATTTAACCTTATTCAATGCATATTCAATCCTATTAAATGCATATTTAAATATATAAAAATGAGTTGAAAATATTTTGAGATAAAGTACATATGTAAATGTATAAAAATAAACAAATTTATTTGTAAGTTTCATGGATAATAAATTATTATTAACAAGAAAACTAAAATATTATTATGAAGTGTGTTAATTACGTTAAAAGAGTAGGTACAGGAAATCCCACATACATGTATTAATTCATGGATTTAAGCAATCTATGGATATAAGTATATTTTTCCTACCCTTACTAGCACAGTGTGCATTGGCTAAATGTTGGTCCAATATAACTAATATTGGACCAACGGTTAGCCAATGTTTAGCCAATGCACTGTGCTACTAGAGTATAAAATTGAATATTCTGTTTTCAAATGAGACAAGTAGAACGGAGACTGAGCCATATCATTGTTAGTATCTTTGTTTTACTACGATAAAATAATACGTTTCAGTCTGAACAATTTTCGGTGAATCAAATTTAAAAACGAATAATAATTAAAAGGAAACTTGTGAAAACGACGCTCGCAACTCATAACTATAAATCATATGAAATCATGGTCAATATATAAAATAAATTGTGCTTTGACGTATATTGTTAGATCGATAATCGAAATAAAATAAAAATAAAGTACTTTAGTCAGTATTTAAAAGTGAGAGATAAAATATGTAATTACAAACCTTAAATTCATAATAATGAAAGTTAATTGCCGAACTGTAGTGCGGAAACAATATTTCCTGTCACAATCGGTGAACTACTAATGACAAGTAAGAATACAAGTAAAATAGGGGTCGGACCTACTGAACGAAAAGGAGTGGTAGTGGGGGAAAAAATGGAAGGAGATGAAAGGACTTTGTATTCCAATTTAAGAAACTATTTCTATACAAGTATTTCCCGTGCAACACATTATAACGTCAAAACAAAGATAAATTGTGTAATATAATTCAAGTTCTATTAGTTTAATCAGTATTGTGGATAAAAGAATCATCATTAAACGACATTAAGAGATTAAAAAATTGCAACTAAGCGTTTTTTACTTATTCTGTACATTATTTATTAGAAGCTTTTACTAACATATGAGTAACTGCGTTTATATAATTGGTGAATTCTTCATAAAGAATCATAGACAAAAATAACATAGACCTATGAAATTTTAGGTTTTGTCAGTTACAAAAACACTAGCGAATTTGATTTTATTACGCTGAAAACATATCTGCCATAAGAAACGTCAAGTTTTTAAGTTACTTGTGGTTAAATGACTATTTCGGACCACTTTATTAATTTAATATGGGAAAACCTAATTTTTTGAAATATTTCTGCCAATGGTATCATATATGGTATATGTATAAAAATAGTACTAGTCTTCGCATTTCAAATCCATTCTTCATTACTGACTGCAGATTTTTTAACGCTGTAAGATTAAACAATTTTTTAATTTTGAACACTAATTGTCCTGAATTCTTACTTCTATTCTGGCATGTGTGTACAGGATGAAAAAATTTTGATCAAAATTTTGCATATAATTTGTGTAACGAAATTTCTAATTATGCACCCGTGACTAGGCGGTGAAATCGTATGACGACTGGCGACAAATAGAATTTAGAATAAAAAGATTGATTGGTTTCGTCATTAAAAATCAAGGACACAGCGATTCGACAGTACTCATAAGTAATTATAATCATCCAACATAGTTAAAGTTCTTGGTTCTCTTCGTGGTAGATCTCATTGAATTATTATAGTTTCTATCAAAATTTTCATATCGGGATAAAGTAATTTTTCATTTATCGCGCTACGAGCCGCAAATAGCCATGTCTATCAGGAAAAAATTTTAAAGAAACTGCGCAAAGTGTTTTACAAATTGTATATACGATTCTGTGGGTAATATGTTACATTTACGTGCTCTGTTAATGGAATTTAAATTTATATGCGGATGTAGTTGATGCTGCAATTTCTGCTCGAATCTCTTGATAAATTTGATTAATATGGACAATTTGCTTATTAAAATAATATATATTAGTGAAATAATTCGTTATATAGTGTATACTACTATACATAATAATAAATCAATAAATAAAACCACCAATACGATCCGAGTAGGATGTAGGTAGTAAGTAGTCCAATGCTTTATACAGTGTACTACTATAATATTTAAGAATTTATTTGCACTGTCACTGCTGAGAAAATTTAATTCCATCCCTTCACCTTTCTATATATTCCAAAGTATACTATAAGGCAGCTAAGATTTTTGTAAGCTTGTAGAATAGTTACAATTCTCGACTAAATTTCGATATGTTATAAAAGAATTAACTTATACACACATATACAGGGTGTTGAAAAAAAAGGGTTACATATTTTGATAAGAGGTAGTATTGGTCAAAACAAGAAGAAAAGGTCTAATTAACATGGGTCCTAAGACTAATATCTTCAGAGATACAAGTTATTTTGTTATTTGAGCTCTTTGTCATTTTCTTATTAGTCGTGTCATCTTTAGAATGTAATGAACGTCTTAGAGAATCACGCACTCTTTCAAGTCACGCACCATAACTTCATTTCTCTCTCCTGATATTTACGTTTGGTTCGCAATAGACACCACAAGTCAGATCTCACAAGAATCTCTCTTTGTTTATTTCTTGTTTTTAAAGCACCTAGAAAAAAGATATCCCCATTGTACCCCATTCTTCCCTACTCCTTTGTTCATTACATTCTAAAGATAACACGACTAATAAGAAAATGACAAAGAGCTCAAATAACAAAATAGCTTGTATCTCTGAAATTAGTCTTAGGACCCATGTTAATTAGACCTTTTCTTCTTGTTTTGACCAATACTACCTCTTATCAAAATATGTAACCCCTTTTTTTTTCAACACCCTGTATATATATACATATATAAGATATATTATAAATTTCACACAAGGTATAGAAACATTTTACCAAATGCAAGATAGCATGTACGCCAGCATGCTATAATATATATAACTAGACGTTATAAAGAATAAATGAAGGACTAGGAATCTTAATAGATCCTGATGTACTTTGGAACTAGGTCTGTTTGATCTATTTGTGCCAAGAAATGTTCCATGTTTATAAAAGTTTTCCAACAGTGCTTCTTTCTCTGCCCATCTGTCGTACAACCATGTGGATAATTGTTCTCGTTCTCGAGGAACCTACGATACATTGTAAGATATTATATAACACATTGCTATGCGCATTTGCATAAATTATATCTCACGTCAAGTCACTCACCACTGAACTAGGGAAAAGTCGATAAAATAATACCGTCTCGAACGGAGGTCTGGAACCAGTTGCAATATTAACTGCAGTGAGAGGTTTATCATCGGGATACCCTATTGTTACATCCAGAATCCAACTAATTTCTGTATTGGCTGCCGTCATACCTGTAGATAATATCGTATAATACGATAGTTCCAGCAATAATCGTAATCACTATAGTATCACTATAAGTAAACTTTGTGTGTACTATATGTATGTACATTTTAATTCCATAAAATTAGTGACAATATTTTATAACACAAAATTTTACTTGGTCGGTTATTCCGGCGTTGATCTTCTGCGTCCCTGCTTCTTGCTGGCCTGAGGGTTTCTAAAATCGTATGCATGGCTCCTACTTTTGGTAGAGCCACATTTTCCAGAATAGGCAGATTGTTCTTCTTAGCATACTTTTGCGAACTCTCTCGGTTTTTATACAGTAATCCACCTTCCGGGAAAAGTACAATCCATTTTCTATCTCGCGGTATATACGAATCTTTTAGATGCTTTCGTAATTGTTTTAAACTTTCTTCCCGTCGTTCACGTCCCTGCAGTTATCTAATATATATTGACTGAAGGTAACAGATAATTCGCGTTCCATTACATTACGTTTACATTACAAAACGTAAACAGTAACAGTAAATCTATATCTAACAGATTCCGTACATATAGATTCTTAAAAACTTGGCACTTACCGATACAATGAAGAAATCTTGATGTAATATAGAAGCTATCCCGAAATTAGTAAATTTGAACACTCTATCCATTATCCACATTAAATTAGGAGCAACATTTGGTTTGGCGTTAAATGTTGTCATTAATATAGCAACATCACCAGTGCTCTGATGATTCGCTATAACTAATGTTTTCTCGCTTATAATCTTCTGTATGTCATCACCTTGCTCTATTACTGTCGAACAAAAGCAAAATTTGTTTCCCTCCGAATTCAACGGGGCTTTATTCCTTATCAATTTGCACCGTCATTATTTGTACTTACTGTCGTAGCCTGCAGACCAGGTCCACATCGACACCATTCCCAGCAACCAGTGGAAAAATAGGCCTTCGATTCGCCAGTACACTTGTGGTTGATATATTTTTACCGGGAACAGTAACATCATCCATACTGCATACGTAGGTATGTAATAGACAGAGTTTAATATCATAAATGCCGTCCGTACGACACATTTCAGTAAAGTCACTATTTTGCCGATTATTCTGCAAAACGATACATTTCTCAGTCAAAATTGTCTACCTTACAAAAAATATAATTTAAGAATTAATCCTTTTATAAGTGACATATCAAGTATTTATTCATTTAGATATATCAACAATACAAAAAGAAATGTGCACAGATTTTTATCAAATTGATACCAAATTGTCGTACATTATGTATGAATTATTATATTATCTTACTATAGTTGAATTTTGCTTTTATTCATTTGTAAATGGGGTAGAAACATATCCTTAAGATAGGACGCTATTAGTACGAAAAAATATTCAAAATAGTATCAAAATTAAAACATATTTAATTATAATGTAATGCCAAACAGAGCAATGTTAGTATAAAAAAGAAATTTTTAATTTATAATATCCATTTCTAACCTGACGTTAGTTAATATTAAATAAATATAATTTTACATTATACAGGTATCTATAAACTAATCATAAATATTTTAGTAACCGATTTCTTGTTATAATTTAATACCAAAATATCGAGGCTAGAATAATTTTCAAACAGAAAACAAAGTCGCACATGAGTTTAAAATGTGAAGTGCACGAATGATAAGGACGCAATTTTGCTTGCGCTCAGGAAGGACATAATGATTAGTGATAAACTAAAGTACTTTCACGAACCAAATATATACCAAATACCTTTAATGATTTTGAAATTATTATGCACTCGTGCAACGAGAAGTTCCTTAAGAAGCTATATTTTTGTTAGTGCAATGTGCATGTGTTCTTATTCAATATGCATATTTAATCTTATTCAATGCATATTCAATCCTATTAAACATATTTAAATATATAAAAATGAGTTGGAGATATTTTGAGATAAAGTACATATGTAAATGTATAAAAATAAACAAATTTATTTGTAAGTTTCATGGATAATAAATTATTATTAACAAGAAAACTAAAATATTATTATGAAGTGTGTTAATTACGTTAAAAGAGTAGGTACAGGAAATCCCACATACATGTATAATTCATGGATTTAAGCAATCTATGGATATAAGTGTATTTTTCCTACCCTTACTAGTACAGTGTGCATTGGCTAAATGGTAGTCCAATAACTAATATTGGACCAACGGTTAGCCAATGTTTAGCCAATGCACTGTGCTACTAGAGTATAAAATTGAATATTCTGTTTTCAAATGAGACAAGTAGAACGGAGACTGAGCCATATCATTGTTAGTATCTTTGTTTTACTACGATAAAATAATACGTTTCAGTCCGAACAATTTTCGGTGAATCAAATTTGAAAACGAATAATAATTAAAAGGAAACTTGTGAAAACGACGCTCGCAACTCATAACTATAAATCATATGAAATCATGGTCAAAATATAAAATAAATTGTGCTTTGACATATATTGTCAGATCGATAATCGAAATAAAACAAAAATAAAGTACTTTAGTCAGTATTTAAAAGTGAGAGATAAAATATGTAATTACAAACCTTAATTTCATAATAATGAAAGTTAATTGCCAAACTGTAGTGCGGAAACAATATTTCCTGTCACAATCGGTGAACTACTAATGACAAGTAAGAATACAAGTAAAATAGAGGTCGGACCTACTGAACGAAAAGGAGTGGTAGTGGGGGAAAAAATGGAAGGAGATGAAAGGACTTTGTATTCCAATTTAAGAAACTATTTCTATACAAGTATTTCCCGTGCAACACATTATAACGTCAAAACAAAGATAAATTGTGTAATATAATTCAAGTTCTATTAGTTTAATCAGTATTGTGGATAAAAGAATCATCATTAAACGACATTAAGAGATTAAAAAATTGCAACTAAGCGTTTTTTACTTATTCTGTACGTTATTTATTAGAAGCTTTTACTAACAATATGAGTAACTGCGTTTATATAATTGGTGAATTCTTCATAAAGAATCATAGACAAAAATAACATAGACCTATGAAATTTTAGGTTTTGTCAGTTACAAAAACACTAGCGAATTTGATTTTATTACGCTGAAAACATCTGCCATAAGAAACGTCAAGTTGTTAAGTTACTTGTGGTTAAATGACTATTTCGGACCACATTATTAATTTAATATGGGAAAACCTAATTTTTTGAAATATTTCTGCCAATGGTATCATATATGGTATATGTATATAAATAGTACTAGTCTTCGCATTTCAAATCCATTCTTCATTACTGACTGCAGATTTTTTAACGCTGTAAGATTAAACAATTTTTTAATTTTGAACACTTGTCCTGAATTCTTACTTCTATTCTGGCATGTGTGTACAGGATGAAAAAATTTTGATAAAAATTTTGCATATAATTTGTGTGTAACGAAATTTCTAATTATGCACCCGTGACTAGGCGGTGAAATCGTATGACGACTGGCGACAAATAGAATTTAGAATAAAAAGATTGATTGGTTTCGTCATTAAAAATCAAGGACACAGCGATTCGACAGTACTCATAAGTAATTATAATCATCCAACATAGTTAAAGTTCTTGGTTCTCTTCGTGGTAGATCTTATTGAATTATTAAAGCTTCTATGAAAATTTTCATATTGGCACAAAGTAACTTTTCACATATCGTACTACGAGCCGCAAACTTACTTCTGTATTGCATAATTTGTTGAATGTTGAAATGAAATTATATACAATGCTAATTTTCGTAAAGACATGTTACATATATATACTTACCATCATTTTACTTCTGAAATGATTGAAACCCAAGTTATAGCCAAATGGCTACAGAATGAAAATCAATATCAATAGAGTGAAAAATTAATGAATAACAGGTTGATTACATCTATCAGTAATCGATAGATAGGTATATGTGAGTATGATAATAAACGTACAAATTACGCAATATCATTAACCAAATGTTAATCGCTCATAATTCAAAAACAATCATAAGCTTCGATATTTTTGTTTCAGCATTTCCAACGTTAATTAGTTTGTAGAATAAATTACTAAAACACATCAGTTGTAGTAAATCATTATATCCTGCAATCACAGATTAGAAATGTCAAAAATTTTCCAGCGAAACAATTTCGTTAATTGTCCAAAAACATAATTCTCTTCTTTTCTCTTATAAGATCTCTTTTTTTTTAAATACATACTCGCCAGTACATTAAGATTCTTTATTACACACGCATTGCATACTACCGTATCTCCTGCTGTATTGTTTTCGTCACGACGTAACGAAAAATAAGGACAATTACGAATAATGTCTAATTATTAATATTATGTGACCATATCTTTGATTGTTGTATTTATTTATTTGGTAATATATTAATTTTTCAATGAAGAACGCATACTTATTCGTAGATTTTATTTAAATTAATTATTATTCGTACGTTGTATTTATTTAGAAAACTTTATACATATATGTATAAGTGCATATACTATGTATACAGAAGAAGCGATCTTTTTCTCTAATAAAATGGCATCTTAGCATTAGTTTGAAATGAGAACAATTTGTAGCTAACAAATATAGGCGATTGTACGCCTACGTACACACCATCAGTATATAAAATACAATTAGAACATTATATATTTACGTGCTTTTGTATTTGTAATGACATTCTTTTTATCACATATTTATGATTTATTTATATACGTATTTTATATGTTATCTGTACGTGAGAAAAATATGGATATTTACAAATTGATAAAAACAACTGAGAAATAAGTGCTAATGTATAATTATGTCAGTTCGTTATATCCAACTATTGCCAAATTTCTAATATTCTATTTTATTATATATGTTAATCGATTAAAAAAGGAAAATATTCTTTCAAGATTCAATAAAGATCCGATATCGATAGATACACGATAATGTAATACACTGCATAATTCTTTATGCATAAATACAATAATTTATTATTTTCTTATTTTTGTACATTTTGAGAAAAATAAAATTTTGTAATTTTGACAAAATAAAATAAAATCGCCACAAATTTTATGGCAATTAAATATTATTTTTTATTCGTTACGAATACGAAGTGTTAAAAAAGGGTGTGATAAAAAGAATAACGAAAACAAATTTACTTACCATCTGTTTGTTTCTAAAAACCAAATTATAGCCAAATGGCTATGCAATAAAAATTAATATTAGAGGAGTAGAAAATCAATAATTGACAGGTTGATTACATCTATCAGTAATCAATAGATGTAATTATGAGAATGAACGCACGAAAGATACGTAATATCATTAACGAAATGGCAATCGCTTATAATCCAAAAACTATCACAAACTTCGATATTTTTGTTCCAGTATTTTCAACGTTAATTAGTTTTTAGAACAAATTATTATATCAGTAGCACATCATTATATCCTGCAATTACAGATTAGAAATGAGTCAAGAAAACAGCCGGAAGCTTTTGACAAAGGCCAGGAGTTTTATATTCGTTTCATAGTTTCTGGACATAAAAAAATATATCTTGCTTATTAGTTCATACAATGCAATCCGCTACAATATTTCTTTTATTTATTTCCGTTTTCGAACAATCATATCTTTGCACTAATCTAATTCTAATTTATATGTCGTTAAAGTTATAAACTTATTGTTACAAAATTCCTAACGTGATGTTTAAAAAATTATGTTTATAGGATGGACCTTTTAATGTTTGCCTTGAAAAATATCTTTTGCTGTGTATATCACAAAAAAACCCTCTAAATTGATACGCTCTTTAAAAGATTCGACTGTTAATGTTCCACAAAAATTCTTTTCTTCTATTGTATGTTGATATAGAATGTCATATTTTATAATCAACTTACATAAGACACACATGCGATGCTATATATTACAAAGATTTGGTTACAACGCTACCAAGTACCAGGTGTGTGATAAACACATTCGTACATTATTTGTGATGTTAATATAACTCAATGTGAATATCGTACCTAAATTTGAATCTATATGAAACCGGGTAGTGTTTATTATGCAACATATAATAGAATTGTATAAATTAAGAATTGTGAACTTGATCCAATATCGATAAAGTGTCTAAATGCCATATTTTTACGCATTCTCAAAAACTCTGCGGCAAAATGCATTATACCACCTTTACAAAAGAGATCACATAACGGATGATGTTTACAGATGAAATGCTTATTCCGGCGAGTACTGTATCTAAATTTAAAATTAAATATTTTTATATCCTACAATATCCAAAGTGAAGAAAAATAAGTCTACAGATTGGCGTCACCAACGAAGTTTCATTCTAAGAATGTACCATCATCGAGCTCCGAGATATACGAATGTTGATTTATAAAAGCAGGTTTGTTACGTAACGTATACTTTGTATGGTATAGAGAATACAAGATAATCATTTTTAACTTTTAAGAAACCATAAAAATTACAGAAATAAATTTTATTTCAACTGTTATTTCGTTAAATATATTAAAATATGTTAATAGTTCGAAATCACATTTAAAACCATGTTAACTTTATGTTAGTTTTACAACGCAAAACACAATTACCACTACCGTTTGCAATTGTTGCATTAAATAAAAATAAGTGTTACAACTGACTTATAATGTGGGCAGACTTGCCGAATTTAATTATCTGTACATCCATTAGAATTATTCTCATAAACATCAAAATGGTTGTTTAAGGCAAGGATATCTTACTTCGTTACTATGATTTCCTTCTTTAAACTGGACCGTCGTGCGTCGCACATGATATAAAAACATCTTACCAAAAGCAAGATAGCACGTACGTAAGCATGCTATAATGTATATAACTAGACGTTATGAAGAATAAATGAAGGACTAGGAATCTTAATGGATCCTGATGTATTTTGGAACTAGTTCTGTTTGATCCATTTGTGCCAAGAAATGTTCCATGTTTATAAAAGTGTTCCAACAGTGCTTCTTTCTCTGCCCATCTGTCGTACAACCATTTGGATAATTGTTCTGGTTCACGTGGCACCTACGATACATTGTAAGATATTATATAACACATTGCTGTGCGCATTTGCATAAATTATATCTCACGTCAAGTCACTCACCACTGAACTAGGGAAAAGTCGATAAAATAATACCGTCTCGCACGGAGGTCTCGAACCAGTTATAATAGTAGCTAAATCGAGCGGTTTACCTTGAGGATACGCTACTGTTATATCAAGAACCCAACTAATTTCTGGATTAGCTACCGTCAAACCTGTAAATAACAAATGTCGTCTAATACGATAGGTTTAATAATTATAACGATATCACTATAAGTAAAGTTTACGTATATACGTACGCATGTACATTGCAATTTCATAAAATTAGTCTACAATTATTTATAATATGCAGTGCAATTTTACTTGGTCGGCTGTTCAGATGTTGATTCTCCGAGTCCCTGCTTCCCGCTGGCCCGAGAGTATCGTATATGGTTTGCATGGCTCCTACTCTTGGTAGAGTCACATTTTCAAGAATAGGCAGATTATTCTTCTTGGCGTACTTTTGCGAAGTCTCTCGCCTTTTACACAGAAAGCCACCTTCCGGGAAAAGTACCATCCATTTTCTATCTCGCGGTATATACGAATCTTTGAGATGCTTTTGTAATTGCTTTAAACTTTCTTCTCTTCGCTTACGTCCCTGCAGTTATCTAACATATATTGGCTGAAGGTAACAGATAATCCGCGTTTCGTTACCATTACGTTTGCATTACAACATGCAAAAGCAGTAAAAATGAATTCCGTACATGTGTGCTTTTACGGGGACACTTGGCACTTACCGATACAATGAAGAAATCTTGATGTAATATAGAAACTATTCCGAAATTAGTAAATTTGAACACCCTATCCATTATCCACATTAAATTAGGTAGAACATTTGGTTTGGCGTTAAATGTTGTCATTAATATAGGAACATCACCAGTGCTCTGATGATTCGCTATAACTAATGTTTTCTCGCTTATAATCTTCTGTATGTCATCACCTTGCTCTATTACTGTCGAACAAAAGCAAAATTTGTTTCCCTCCGAATTCAACGGGGCTTTATTCCTTATCAATTTGCACCGTCATTATTTGTACTTACTGTCGTAGCCTGCAGACCAGGTCCACATCGACACCATTGCCAGCAACCAGTGGAAAAATAGGCCTTCGATTCGCCAGTACACTTGTGGTTGATATATTTTTACAGGGAACAGTAACATCATCCATACTACATATGTAGGTATGCAATAGACATTGTTTAATATCACAAATGCCGTCCGTACGACACATTTCAGTAAAGTCACTATTTTGCCGATTATTCTGCAAAACGATACATTTATCCGTAAAAATTGTCTGCCTTCCTAAAAACGTAACGTCTAACAATTACAATTATGCGTTATGATTGTTAGGTCCTACAAAACTTTTCTTGTAAATAAAAGCTTAAATGAGGCATAAAAATATCATTAAGTTATGATATTATTAGTACGAAATTACCATAAAATGGTATCCAAATTAAAAAATGTCCATAATATAATCTAGAAGAGAGCAATGTTAGTAAAAAAAAAAAAAAGAAATTGCCAATTTACAATATCCATTTCTAATTTCTTGTCGTTAGTTAATATTAAGGATGATTTCACATTATACAGGGTGTCCATAAACTGACGATAAATATCGAAGCTGGAATGATCTCTTAAATGCTAAAAGAGATCATGAGTTTAAAGTTTAAAGTGCACGAATGATAATGGCAGAATTTTGCTCGCTCAGGAAGCACAGAACGATTAGTGATAAATTCAAGTGCCACCACGAACCAAACGTCTTTGAGGGTATTAAAATTATTCTTCTTACAAATTTAAGAAACTGCTCCTGTTAATTCAACGTGCACGTGTGCTTATTGAACACATTGCAGCTCGGCTCGACATATTTGGATATAAATGAATATGAAAATATGAAAAAAAGTTGACGTTTTGAGATAAATAGATCAAATATGTATATAAAAGTAAATAAGTTTATTCGTTAAATTTATCAAAAATTATTATTAACGGGCCAAAATGTTATGTGTATGAGGGACGTTACATTAAAAAGGTGTACATAAGAAATGCTATATACATATATATATAATCTCATGGAACTAAGCAAGTTATATGGATATGAAAATTCTTCCGCCATAAAAATAAATAGGGTTTCTAATCGACCATGACCGACGGTGTGTTTTTAACACAGAAAATTTATTGCGAAAAAAACAAATTGCCAGTCATGCTCGATTAAAAGCTCGATCATTGTTAGTCATTTGCTGGCGTCAAATAATGCTTGTGTGTTAAGTAGAGTTTGTATTCAAATATAATCAAGCATTTATGTGCAGGCGTTTCCCATGCGACTGTAAAAGAAAGATAAATTGTATGATTCAAGTTCTATCATTCTGATCAAAATTATCTTATAGAAGAATCATCGTCGTACAACACCAGGAGATTGGGAAGCTGCTATATTATTTGTGAACGTTATTCACTATGTATTTGAATATTATTTATTACAAGCTATCACTGAGAATATGAAGAACTGTGCCTGTATAATCGGATAATTCTTTATGAAGAATCGCAGACAAATAATCAGTGTGTACGTAGATCACAGTTCTTCGATGGATATCTTACAATTTAATCTCTCCTCTATCCTCCCATCCTTGAACAACAGTAAAATGCTTTGACAGTATCGAACTTGAACTTTCAGGTATTCATAAAAATACAAGCCTGTTCAATGAGACGCGGCAGAATTGTAATTTAAGTAAACAATCAGTGAACGAGGAATTGTCAGGTACTTTCCAGATATGAACAATCCAGAATAAACTGCAATGGGATCGCAATGCTCGAGCGAGCCAAATGTTAATTGAAGCCGAACAGTGATAAAATTCAATTTTCACAACAGAAATTGCTCCACGGTGGCACCCGAGAGCAGCGAGCAGTCGCTCAAAAGGGCCGACGCGTCCAAAAGAAGTACGTTTTTGGGGGGAAAAAGTAAACCCTCGTTAAAACGTTTTGTCTTGTTACGTGGCGCCAAGGCAGGCGTGCAATAATTAGGCGCACATTTTAACAATAACAGAAAACTGTGAAAAGAGAACGCAGAGAGTATTTTGTTGTCACGTTGCAACCAAGTAATCAGCACGATTAAAACTTTTGTTTAAGAAATTTCAATTTCCTCTTCGCTCGTGTTCCTCGTCGACACTTTTTCTATTTCTTTTTTTTTATACAGAAATTCCTCGCGACCGCGATAATCGCTGGTCGCAGCTACGTGCGCTTTCCACGCACGTCAACCGGCTTGCGTATACTCCTCTTTCTTTCTCCCGTTCCCTCGTTCTCGCTTGTTCCTCCTTCGCGCGGTGTAAGGTTAAGCGCGACTTTCCACGAGGTACGCGAGAGCACGGTCTTCCACGTTGCGGGTTACGCGCGGCGAGCGCGATTCGGAGTCACGGCGGGGGGGGGGCAGCGCGACGGTCCGTCGGAGGAAAGATTCGTCGGGGCCGCGCGAGCGAGACGTTTACCTGACGAAAGTAGAGGCGGCGGAGGTAGAGTCAGTCATTTTCGAGTGCCACCATCCGTTGCAGAGGACCGAGGATACTTGATGCACTTTTTCTTCACCATAGCATCCTCTTATGTGCAATTCACGTAGCGAGGAATCATTATCCCGGATGACACACGCGGCGCGACGAACGTGTACTGCACGTCGGGAATTACGTGGAATTGCCGCGACGTCGGAGTTGGCATATATACTCCGCGGGGATTCAATAATCGCGCTCGTTCCTCGGTCTATCGCGCGAGGGGTTTTCGCTCCCTGGTGGACGCTCCGTCCGCCCGGCCGCGGCGCGAGAGACACGGGCGTATCGTCGACGATTTACCTCCCCGTCTACCGCCGCGCAAAATCTCAAACGACTCGCTCGCGTTGAGATAATTCGTTATTCATCGCTTTTTGTTGTCCTGTGCTGTAATGTGTGCGAAATCACGCTAGTGTACATAACATACTGGAATGGCGGTTCGACTCGGCTCGGCTCGGCCCGGCCCGGCCCGACTCATCTCGGCACAATTCGGCGCATCTCGGGCGCGTCGTCTCGGCCACGCACTTGTCGTGTATAGCTAGACTGTAGGCCGCTAGTCAATGCGGAAAGCAAGGTCCCCCCCCCCCCCTTCGAACACTGGGTTGCTTGCGAGAGCCAATAAGAACGCAGAGTTTGAGATCAGGTGACTTAAGGCTAAATTCTGATTGGCTCTCGTAAGCAATCCAGTAGGGAAAATAGTATCGTGTGCTGTTGGCTTTAACTTTCAGCATTGCTTAAGTTTTTCGCGTGTTTTGGGCCTTTATTGCTCATTTCCTTAAGTCCCAGTCTACAATAGATGATTTAAGCCCTAAGCTTTAAGAAATTGGCCAATCACGGTCAAGTATGAGTAGAATGCGCGACTGTGATTAGTCAATTTCTTAAGGCTAAAGCCTATCACACAATGCCAGGCAACAGGCAACAGGAACAGGGAATAGAATTTCTGACGCGTTGGATTGGTTGGAAGAAAATTTTCAACGAATCCAACGCGTCAAAAATTCTATTCCCTGTTCCTATTGCCTGTTGCCTGGCATTGTGTGATAGGCTTTAGGGCTTAAATCTCTATTGTAGACTGGGACTAAAGGCCTTTGCACGTAAAAAAGCGTTAACCGTAACCGTAATTTTAGTCCGTAATCGTAGTTCTCAACACGTACAGATAGATGGAGCAACCCAAGTAAAATTCCGAAGGTTACGGACTAAAATTACGTAGGTTCCGTAGGTTGTGGACTAAAATTACGGTTACGGTTAATGCTTTTTTACGTGCAAAGGCCTTAAAGCCCGCTGCAGACGATGCTATTTTTCCTGCTGGATTGCTTGCGATTTAGTAAATTACTATCAATGCACCACTCAGCATTCAGGATTCCTAGTAATTTACTAAATTCCAAGCAATCC